GTTTTCTTTAGGTTGTATATGTCCCTTAAACTCCCCAAATTGAGATAGCATTTCTCTGCACTGTGTCTCATAAGTGACTCTTTTATTATAGCTCTGAGAATTTGATATCATTTTTGGTGCAGTCACTTTTAAATCTCTGGCAATCCTTGCAATGTGATTAGCTCTCAGCAATGCAACTCATTCACAAATTGTGCAATATCTAACTCTAAATTGCATCTTTTTCTAATTCAATGAGAGAGAAACTTCAGCAACATAACCAATCAAATTTCAAGGCTTCTTTAAAGCAACCAATCAAATTGTGGGGAAGTGAAACAAAAAAGCCATGTGTGGGAAATTTAACAACTTTTGTCCCCACTAACCCTTTTTTTTTACCCCAAAATATGAATGAATTTAATTTCTTACAGTTATTAAAGAACCACAACTTTGTGATTGTTCATAGGTGTAAAAGAGTGGTAATTGAAGTTTGTATCTTGCAATTTTGGTCAGAAATTATACTTGTAGTTCCAGACTCAATTTTGTTCCACTTAGTTTATGATTGCACAAATGAATGTATGAATGTACTAATTGAACTAATGAAGAGATAATCAAACACGATCTCATTTTCCTTTTGAAATCCTTGTAGAAAACCTTCTACGACCTAAAAACGGCAGACACGTTAAAATGATTAAAAATAATATAAATAGGAAAAATTTCTCAAGCAACGAAATACAAAGATAGTAAGAGGAAGAAGAGGCGTGCTTCACTTCATGAATGTAGTTCAATTGACTTGGAGTTAGTGAGTCACCAATTCCAAGGAGATCTCTCAACTCACATTTACTCATAAACCAGAAGATATACGGTAAGAGACTTTTCTGAAAAAATCTGTCAATTCCCACTGGAGATATTCCCAGTTGATCTGCTAACAATCCTACGTAAGCATCATCAGGTCCAATTCGAGTGACCTGCCTTGATAAGTCGAGCATTTTTGGAAGTACACTCGCCGACAGGACATACATAGAGCCTTTACAAAACTGTGGATAATAGTTCAAAGAAAGATCGTCTTTAGTCACGTAGTGACGGTGTGATGTATCCCTCACTACAATTCCTCTGTACAGAACACCACCGTAGAGAGAATTTGGATCGCCTCGATTCAGCATCCATTTTATTAACTCGGGAATGTCAACGTAAACATCGCTGTCAGTTTTCAGAATATAGTTACATCTAATTTGTGTCGCCCACTTAAATGACATGAGAAGTTTTGTCGTGATGTTTCGATACTTGTCGATGTAATCAGCTATAAGAAGATCTCCATGCTGTTTGTGTTCCGCCATTAATTTTTCATTCATGTCGCTATTCAACGATTTGCCCATCATGAATACAACCTTCCATTTGTAATTGTTGTTAGTTTTGTCACATTTACCCCAAGTACGACGTATTGTATCTCTTCTTTTCATCTTGTCGTCGGGCGAAGTTGAAACTATCACCAGAACGAATAAGTCTTCGAAGTCGGTAACTCGTGGTTCAATGGAAGGGGACAGGATGGGAAAATTGCTTTGATATTTCCTAAGATCTATTCGGCGATGACTTGGTGGTACGAAGAGGCGTACGAGTAAATATATTAGGGCTGCTATCCCTGCAAAGCACAGTCCAACTCGTATGACCCTCCGAAATCGAACTTTCATCAACATCTCTAGCCTCGATAACACAACCCTCCATTTATTGTTGTTGTTAGTTGAGTTCTAGTGGAAGCCTCGTGCAGGTATCGGCGGCCTTCCCGTGGGGCCGACCCACAGACATGAAGGGAGATTTGTAACAAAAATTGGCCCCAGAGACAGGGGCATTATAGCCTGCGTTGCAGGTGTCTTATTAGGGCAAGTTAACTTTCAGAAGCTCATGATCGTTTGTTCAACTGGCCTTCTCTGATCGAGGGTTAGGGTAAACGGTGCGGGGAGAGGGCGGGAAATGGTTAGAAGAATGCTCATTGTTCCACCCCTCCCCGCTCCTCCTTTTTGACCGTCACCCACCCGCTCGGTATAAATTTCTTTTCTCTCCCCAGCCTTCCGCTGCTGTAAAAAAAAACATATCTGTAAAGTTTATATCTTTCCCGGTCGCCGGAGAAAAAAGCTCATTTTTATTCTTATTGCTTTTTCGAATTCTTGTAGTGATCCTCATATTTTCCAGCTGTTTACCTTCGCACTTTGACAAGAGTTGGAAGTGGCGCATGCTTGTTCACCAGCTTATACAGCTTTTTGTGAAATGTGGAAATAACTTAGAGGGATCCTTAACAGCTGGTGATGACTCCCACGTGAGTTCCGACAATTTCTGTAAAAACATTTGTCGATAGAATTTTGAATAGTCACGAGTTACTTTTTTCCCGAGGTTTGATGGTTTCAATGGTTGATTGAACAACGAAAAATTAAGAAAAATGATCAGTGGGATCTGATACAATATCCTATTAGGGGAAGTTTGGTGATTTTTTCGTGTGTTTGTTTGGAGCATATTTATTACTTTTTCCTGTAATATTTTAGCCGTTCTCGATTCATCTGAGTTTCTTTTATTGCAATGTTCTAAAAAAAGGTGAAAGCTAACAACTACCAACTTGTACATATTTCATTGTTCTCGCCGCCTATGTATTCTTGAACATCGGTCCTTTAATGATCTTACTCTAAGTGAACATTGTTAAGTAAACTTTGTTAAGTAAACATTCCTTGTACCGACCTTTTCTGGTAAATTGCTTCTTAAGGAAGTTGCCAGCTGAACTATCGTCCGTAAATTGGTCCTTATCATACGATCATTTTTCACGTTGCCACTTGTTCAAACTTAACACCAAAATCGCATCGATAGGAAGGAATTTTATCCCTTTTACTCCTCGGGGTGACTAGCATCTAATTTCTCCTTACAATATCACCAATGAATCACACATTAATGTCATGAAAATCAAGGAAATAATCACCAACTAAAGAAACTCTTGATTGTTAGACAAATTCTCCTTGTCAGCACCTTAGTAAATGTACAGAGAACAGTATGGAGAATATGAACACTGATGTTAAGGTGTGAAGGGTTAATTGACTTCTCACTCTTACTTGCTGAGATATTATCTTTAATTTTGAAGCTGTGGGTTCAATCACTGTTCTCTTATTTTATTAGAATCGATAACTTCAAAGAGACAATTTCCGCTTCTTCTGTTATACTGTTCAAATATAGCACAGTTAAAGAACAATATTGGAATACATAGACGACTGCGTGGGTATTACATAGACGACGACGTGGCGATTACATTGATGACTGTGTGGCGATTACGAAGTTGAGTGCACTAGAGTTTATGTCGGTTGTCGACATAAACTAAAATAAAGTAACTGTGGAACCAAACACTGTCTAATCCTTGACGTCCGTAGCAAGTTCGCTTGAAGCAGGTCTCCGTACCAGGAAACCGTGACGAGTTTCCGTTCCCGCTGCAAGTGGTCTCTACCAGTCAGGGATAGTTATCAAATTTGACAACCCAGACCAAAACAAAAGAGCAACCAATCGCTGCTCAGATTCACGTTCACGTGACATGTTACTAAGGCAGATAATATGTTCAACATGGCGTCGGAAGGCCGAACGTTAACCAGACTGAGTTTACTAAAGCAACTGTTTTCGACTGGAACTTGTGATTGTAGCTTAAATTGTACACTTGGAAAGGTAAAATTTCGGGCCGATTTTAGATTTGAAAAATACATTGGCTTCTTCTTCTTCTTTTTTCTCAGTCTCAATAATTTCCATTCGTATTATTTTGCTTTCTTGGTGGACGGCGAAGACTCCGGGTTTTTTTCGCCCCTTATTGTTGCGTTCCCTGCGAGAGTCCTGTAGTGCGAGAACCTCGTCACAATTCCTAGTGGCGATATAATCTTCGATTTTGTTCAAGAAAATATTATCAATAAGTGAGGCGCAGTTATTTTAAACCCTTGTCGGTTTATCAATTGTTGGTAAAATAGCGTAGCTTTGTAAGCAATGTAAAAGATGTTGAGTGTAATTACAAGTCTCTGACTTCAGAATATTTATGTTGACGTCACCTAAGGGGTAGAATGATTGACAGATTTCAATACCATTATATTGTAATTCACTGTAATCATTATCATGGACTTTTTTTCATCCGAAATTATAATTTTATTTTAACGCTATTTAGCCTGCGATGTTACTACTGAAATAAAGCTTTTCCAAAGCTTTTCTGTTCTAATATACTTACCACACAAGTGAATAGTGCTTTTCGTGCGCGCTGATTGGCTAGTTCGGGAGTGAATAGCAAATACTATTTATCTCCGAGCAGCCGAAGAAACAAAATCGCGCGTCAAGACTTTAATTTCCCACCATTTTCTATGTATTAAGAGAAATAAACTACATTTTTGGCATCGATGTTGTATATACTAAAAGAATAATTCACCTCAGTGTCGGTGAAAGTGGTGGATATTCACCTTGCCGCTTCACGGCTTAGTAAATACCCACCACTATTCACCTCCACTGCGATGAATAAATATATCTTATTAGACGTGGAAAGCCTCTCGATTCATCTTTTAAAATCCTCGTTGTACATCTTCTATAGCCGAAAATCACCAGACAGGTTAAACAGATTACACAGAATAATCGAAGCAGGGACAATTTCAAGTACAGAGATATACAAAGACTGTGAGAGGCGTCGAACCCCTGCCCAGAAGTCTTAGCATGCTTCACTTCATGAATGTAGTTCAATTGACTTGGAGTAAGAAAATCACCAATCGCAAGGAGATCTCTCAACTCACATTCACTTATTAACCACAAAAAGTTAGGCCTTCTTTGAAAAAAACCTTCAATTCTCACTGCAGATATTCCCAGCTGATCTGCTAACAGTCCAACGTAAGCATCATCAGGTCCAATTCGAGTGACCTGCCTTGATAAGTCGAGCATCTTTGGAAGTAAACTCGTTGACAGAACATACATAGCTCCTTTGCAAAACGGTGGATAATAGTCTAACGAAAATTCGTCTTTGCTCACGTAATGACGATGCCCCCTCTTTCTTATTACAGTGCCTCCGTGCAGAATGCCAGCGTACAGAGAGTTTGGATCGCCTCGATTCAACAACCATTCTATTAACTTGGGAACGTCAACATAAACATCACTGTCAGTTTTCAGAATATAGTTACATTTAATTCGCGTCGCCCACTTAAATGACATGAGAAGTTTTGTCGTGATGTTTCGATACTTGTCGATGTAATCAGTTATGAGAAGATCTCCATGCTGTTTGTGTTCCGCCATTAATTTTTCATTTATGTCGCTGCTTGACGATTTTCCCATCATGAATACAACTTTCCATTTGTAATTATTGTTAGTTTTGTCACAATTTCCCCATGTACGACGTATTGTATCTCTTCTTTTCATCTCATCGTTGGGCGTAATTGAAACTATCACCAGAACGAATAAGTCTTCGAAGTTGGTAACTCGTGGTTCAATGGAAGGGGACAGGATGGGAAAATTGCTTTGATATTTCCTAAGATCTATTTGACGATGACTTGTTTGTACTGCCTGGTCTAAAGAGGGTATGAAATAATTCATCAGGCCCACTGTTACTGCAAAGCATAGTCCACATCGAAAAAGTCTCCGCCAACGAACTTTCTTGGTCATGCCTGCAGAAGTTAAAAACATAGGAAGTTGGAAGTGGCGAGTTGTAAAGGCAGTATGGCCGAGTGGTTAGTGGGCTGGACATGTAATCTGGTGGTCCCGAGTTCAATTCCTCCACCCTGCTACTTACTGGATTTGTTCTCAATTGCCCCGAGTTTAGCTCATTGGCTGCATTTTACACAACTGATTGCAGGAGGTTTTTGGAACAAAGCCTTCGCGACACCCCCTAATGGCGTTTTGTGTAGTTTACAAGTCAAAACTAACCGTTGACTCACGATTTCCGGAAATCTGACAAAAATATCACTGTAAGGATAAGGTATGGCAAGTTCAATGAATATATTTCGTTCGTAAGACTAACTTTTAATTCTAAACTTGAGGAAAAACGAAATAAAAAAACTGACCTTGACGAACGACGGAAACTCAACGACAGAGAATTCGAATCAGACAGGCATGTCGGTATTTATCCCCTGGTCATTAGCCCTTTTGTCCATATCTATTTTTTTAGCGTATTAAAACTCTTTGAAAATCAGATTTGTTTTCAAAACCCTGAAGTGCAGTTTGTCCTTTTTTCCCCGACGACCTTTCTGCAAACAGTTATACACGGCCAATTGGTTTGCCTCCGGCCAGTTGGGACTTTTAAACTCTATATGTTTATTTACAATATTTGAGGGCCATTATTTATATTACTGAGTTACCAGTAATTTATGTTACCCACTTTCAATAAAATTTGAAAAATCTATTTTTTAATTAAGACGCAAAAACGAACACCGAAAGCGCCTCTAGGCAAGTCTGTAGGCATTTTCATATCATGCTACTAGCTTTGACACAGTTTTTGAAAAGTATATGCTTTTTGTGAAGTATTCTTCAAAAGAAAGAAACGCAAAACAAGTCCAAATTATATATTTATTGTTAATAGAGCATGAACTCTCTTCCAGTATCTTGATTTACACTCTCAGCCTCAAATTGAATGTTTTGATATAGCTTAGCGCTAATTGTGTTGTAGCATCACACCTGCTTGATGACAATCTGACAGTTCACTATCCTACTGGTCATGAGAGAAGGCTGATAGTAATTTTAAGCTAAAAACTCTCTCAAGCAGCTTAACGTGGCTGAAACAGTAACACCCTCAACAGGCATTGTGTTGCATAAGTCAACTGTTGGCTTTAAACAAGTAATCAAATGTATTTATCCTCGTTCGAACAAAGCCGTAGGCATTATGTTATGGTGTCGTGTAAGTCCGTAAATCTTCCCCAAGCCCCTCAAGGTTTTCAAAATGACAGACTATCGTGAGACACCTTGATCTC